TTTCTATTTCCTTGGGTTGTCTCTGTGTCATACTAAAATTGGTTTGATGATCTGAAACCTTTGTGTGTGATAAATATGCAAAAAACACAGAAATCAGGAAGGGGGCAAATACTTTTTCACGGCACTGTAGTTTTTTTTTTCTGTATGCTCATCATTATTCAGTATAAAGTAAACAGCAACAAAATGACTGTCCTTTTACACCAAACAAAGTATTTTTTAGGCGTGTATTGTGTTGTTTTCCTGATTCCTGTTTTTGTTGTAGGTAGGCTTCTTCTGTCTAACAGTCACACAAGACACAGCAACGTCGCACAAATGCACATAGAAAAGATACACATGTAGTCCCAGTCCCAGCAGGGCCCCCTCCAACCCCAGGCTGTTACCATGCCAGTGTGATTACCATGGTATTGCTCAATCACCATGGCAACAACTTCTCTTTTCCACTCACATCAAAGTCGTTCATAGCCCTCGCTTCGGCAACAAGCGTGGAGAATTCACGTGTAATTGTCTCAGTGACCATTCTATTTTGTCAATGTTCCGTTGTCATGGAGGCAAGGCTACTGTCATGGCGACCCATCTCCTCCAGCACAGCGGCCAGTTCAATGAGGTCTCCGTCGGGGAAGTGCTGGGCCTCCCAAAGGTCTAGAATCACACCTGTTGGACTGGACTTGGTGGCAAAGTAGTTCAGGTACCTGTGAATCCAAGGATTAGGACAAAATAAGACAAGTCTTAAAGTTCTAAGACATTGAGACATTTCTCTATATCTTTGTCAGACGTGGAGCTTACATTTTAGATCGGTTTTGGAAACACTGGATCGAAACACTGCAGGTAAAATTGTTTAGATTTAAATGGACAATCTGTAAAGAAAAACTTCTGATGTCTTTTGTCTTTTGATGAATAAAGATTTTATTAAGTGCTATCTTAGAATACAAAAAAAGGAAAAATGATGAAAGATTCTACTTTTCTGTTACCTCTACCAAGTCTTCAACAATAAAAATGCACTTGTTTGCTTTAAAATACATAGCAATGTCCTTTTTTATGGCCCCGATTTAAAAAAAAACAAACTTTTTTTGGTACATGGACCATTGATCAAAAGCAACACACTGTACTAATAATATTCTGAAAAAGTCTTAATAAATAAAAAAATTAATAAAATGCACAAATTTACCTCAAAATATATGTCAATATATTTATCATTAAAACTTATGAAATAAATTATTTTTTTGTTATGTTGTACTGTTCTAAAAATGTAGCCAAGTGGTTTTTAATGCTTAAAATTCACAAAAGAAAAACGAATGTTTTGCTATGAAAAACATTGATCAAAAGCAACATACTATACAATATATATTCTGGCCCAACAATTTAGCACTGGTGTGAGTCATATATTATTTTTAACTTGTGGAATACACTTTTTCTGTATGTATTTATTTTATTATCCATCATATTCATCATTCCCTATTAAATTCTGAAACAGATTATTTCTGTTCTAAATTGACCTTACTTCATTAGATATTCATTTGAAATATTAGATAGTAATAGTTTTGTAAATTTGGGAAAGCCAAGAGACTTTTCACTGTACTGCTCAGTGTAACAGAAAGCAAAGGTGAAGAAGTTTAACAACGTCTCATATGTGTGACAAAGATCTTATTTTTCTGGTTTAAAGTGGAAAATTGTCAAATGTACAACTTAGAGGGATTAAACAAAGGTACTCCATGCTCCTGTGGAAATCCTGTTGGCTCACGTTGGTACTGTTTCAACAAGTTCCATCTCTGCTCCTCTGAATCACTTTTTCCTCCAACAGATTATCTTTGTACTATATGTATGTCCCTCTTATTCAGATCAAATAATGGAACCATTTCCATTACCTTTGTCTCTTTTTCTAACCTACTCATCTTTCACTAAAGGGCGTCCTGCTGTTAGCTGAACTCAGGAGACTCTCATTTCTTCCTGTATATTTGTGTATGTGTGTCCCTGTGTGAAGTTCTAACATTTGGCAAGCTATTTGGGGAAAGATGACAAAAACAAATACATGAGTCAGAGTTTGAAGTCAAAGTGACATGTTATGGCAGTTAGAGCAACTGAGAGGATTAAAAAAAAAGGTTTTCTTTGTGCCGTTGTTTTTATCTGTCTCCTCTTTGAAAAGTGGCTTTTAGTAGAAATGTAGTAGTAAACATCCATTTAGCTATCTGTCCATTTTTCACTGACTAATCAGGAATATCTGCTGCTCACATTAACAGACTGCATCATGAGCCAACAGCGTGGGGACAGTTATAGCTACTTGTGTCCAATTATCCTCTCAATGTCAGCTTCTGCTTCGGAGGCTACAGGTAAATTAACGTTCAGACCGACTCATACGTATAGTGATGCTTAGTGTGTCACCTAGTCTCATTCCATAAGATATAAACATATGTTACATTTGTGGCTACTTCATAGGTATTTTCACATTAAAAAAGAAAGAAAGTGAACTACTTGTCATTGTGACACAGCAGACAACCAAATGTGACCTCTGTTCTTAACCCATCACCAAAGTGAACAGTGGGCAGCTTTAAACGAGTCGGGGAGCAGTGTATGGGGACGGTGCCATGCTCAGAGCACCTCAGTGTCTCAGGGAAATGTCTATTTTTCTATGAATTATACATAAATAATGACTCACACTATGACCAACTGCATTAACATTACATGACAGAGGTGTGTCACTGGTATCAAAAGTAATTCCATATATATTTAAGTCTATAAAAGGTAATATCATTTTTCCAGTTTTACTGAGGAGTTTATTATTCGCTGACTAGTTCAACATCGCTTTGATCGCGTACCAGAAGCTAGTGATTAAGACATTCTTTTAAGAAAAAAAGCTCACTAACTAAATCATGTGAAGAGCACTGAAAATTTTATGAAATTTGTTTTATACACATTTTTGTTACAGTCCCCACTGAGTTGGGATTTAAATTATGGTAAAGTTTGACTTATGATTGTGAGAATGAAAATGGGGCATACATCTGTAACAGTCAAGGCTAACTGTGTGTGTGTGCGTGAGTCACCTGTCCAGGTTGAGTTTGTGGGCCAGCATCCTCCAGTCGTTGCCTCTTGTCTGTGGTGCGTCCAGGCTTCCACACAGCTTCTGCCTAATGGATAAAGGGATGCGGAAAGCGTTGGGCCCCACTAGCGCTGTGATGTTGCTGGCAGGGTCCATCAGTGACGTGTCTATGCATTGGACCTCCTGTAATGACACGGAAAATCAGAGATGATTTTCACTTTGTTTTCAGAAACAGGAATACGTAGTAGTTTCATCTGGAGGTTAGATTACAAAATGAATTAATCAAATTCCACATCAGTTGAGTCTCTGTTTCCATTTCCCAAACAAATCCTGCGTAACTTTCTCTGCTGGCGGTTTTGTGTTTGACCAATTACAGATGAATCTCCCCTAATTAATACAAGAGTGAAACAAACACAAAGAGCTGCTCTTTCACTGTCCATCGCTGTCCCTTTCTAAACCTCCAGCCCATTAATCTGCCAATCCTGAGCTGAAAGGAGGCACGAGCCTAATGAATGTGACTTGGCAGAGGGAAACAACAACTGCCACTCTTTGATGTAAATGATTACTATTTACTGCATCTACATAGCTCCAATTTACAGCAGGAAACTCTTTGGCGCCGGAGATTGAGCTGCGCATGCAAAATGACATTGGTTCCTGGCAGTGAAACAATAAATACCTTGCTGCTTTAGTTTTTATTGTATAACACAATATTCCATGTAACGCAATAAATTTGACTAAGTGCTGTTCATCATTTCAGACAGATTTTTGTTTGTAATGATTTCTACTGTAAACCTATAGTAACTGCTTTGGGGGGTGGTGTGCTCAAAAGACTGGTTTGAACCTGGATAATGTGTAAATATACTTTATGAAGTATTGATAAAAGACTGACTTTGTATTTGACTTATATGTATACAAGCCACACTCCACATTTACTCTGAATTAGAAAAAATCAAATATCCCAAACAAATATTGTTAAAGTTGGTTAAAAGACCTGCATTCAAATAAGTGAATACAAAGATAACAACACAGCATTAAAAAACAATAAAACATTAAAACATTAAGAACAAGTTCAAATACAATACAAAAATTAGTATTATTAAATATTAGGTGAACCAGGATTTTATTTCAGTCAAGCAGTCTAAAAGAGAAAGGGGTGGGAGGTTGGAGTCAGGTTTGCTGGCTAGGTAGAGCTTGAGTTGAGTTGCTACTATTTTCTTGAGATGAAAGGCAGGTTGGAGATTGGACGTAGGTTATTAAAATTGGCGGGGTCAGCGCCAGGTTTTTTCAGAATTGGGGTTATTACAGCAATTTTGAAGGAGGTAGGAACAGTCCCAGTGGTAAGAGAGGAGTGGATGATGGCAGAAATGAGAGGGACGAGAGAAGGGAGGCAAGCTTTAACTAAATCTGTGGGGAGAGGATCCAGCTGATGTGGAGGGCTTAGACTTGTAGATGAGATCAGAGATTACTGAGGTGGAGGGGAGCAGACAGGAGGAAAAGGAGTGGGTAGGAGGGGGGAGTTCAGATGTAGTGTCGGAGGTGGGTTGTGGACTAAGATGCTTATGAATTTTCTGGATCTTTTCATCAAAAAATGCCATGAGGGAGTTACAGAATACAGTTGAGTACAGATGAGATGGTAGAGAGTCTGGGGCTTGGACAATTTTCTTGTACAGTGAGTATAGTGATTTGGTGTTACCTTCATGTGAACAGATTAAACCAGTGTAGTGATTGGATTTTGTTTGGGTGATGCAGTCCTTGTAGTGCAGCATGTGATTCTTGTAAATGTCTTTGTGAATAGTTAATCCAGATTTGCGTTGGAGCTGTTCAAGTTGTCGGCCTTTGGCTTTCATGAGTCGAAGTTCAGGCATAAAACAAGGGGGCAGAACGGGAGAAGGAACAGAGAAAAGAATGTGTGGATGTTTAATTGTAATTCTCTTCATCAGTCAGAAGGAAACAGTGTTTGTGTGATTCAATGTGTGAGAAATAAACTAACAAATCTGTGGGTGAATTCATATCAACACAGACTGTGATCAAAGCTGTGATTGTGTCATAAAGTCATCAACACAGTGTGACTGGACCAGTTCAGCCGGGGTAGAGGGAAGTTTCCTGCCCCCTCTACCTGTGACAACTTCCAGGTAGGGGGGAGGAAGGACACCGACATTCAAATGCATCAATAAAATACCCATAAATGGATTGGGGGGGCGGGCAATATTGAATGGTGATGAGAATTATTCTCTAGATTTAAAATACTGTAGTAAATGTACAAATGTACACACTCACATGAAGTGTTTACATACAGTACAATATAACCTTCTCTGACTGGACCTATGACACACACTCTGTGGGTGTGTGTGTGTGTATGATCCACGCTAAATCAGGAAACCGTGTTCGATGCATCACCGTGGAAATACCATGGAAACGTGGGCAGTCAGGCAGACTAACCCACTGTGTGTGGTTTGAGGAGCAGCAGCTCAGTGAAGATCTGATCCAGAATCTGGTGCATCACAGACATAGGTTTTTATTAAAATTATTTTACGCACCAGGACTGTTTATTGGCTAAGTAGGCTAGCATACTGTGGTCAACGACCCGGCCAGTGTTTCGTGGGGGGGAGACAAGAGGTGGACCAGATGGACTTTATTGTTTGCGAGTTGTCTTTATGGTTGTTCCGGCGAGACCCACGGTGGATATATCTCTTGCGGGGCAGGAAAGTAATGTCCAGGAGGAGAGGTGATTCTGATGGGCGTACAGACAGGTTGGGACGAAGCTGGAGAAGCTCAGCAGTGTAGAATATTAGAGCAGGCCCATCGCAGGTTGGTGAAAGAAATGACAGCAAAGTCCAGAGAAGCACAGACTCAAAGTGCATTCTGTCAGTTAACACTGTGGTGACAAACTCTGCGGGGACTCAGTCTAAATGGACACAGGAGCGGTGACAGTGGATCAATAAGCTGCTAAAAAACCTAAACTAAAAACTTAAAGTGATAGCTTAAAAGCTAAAAGTTACGGGCGAGCAGACACACAGCTGCACACACTGCTACATTGCTACACTGCTACACTATACACTATTACACTATACACTAATACACTATTAGATATATGAAATGTATTTAGAATTCACTAAAAACCACTAGTTGTCATGGGGTTGACTCAAGGGCCACTGGAAATTACCTGATGAGCTGAATTTTGTCCATGGGCCTTTAGTTTTGCATCTGAGTAGGTAATTTTAGTTATAAATGCTCCCCCATAGGTCTCCCTTATCCCATAATAAATCAACAATTGTTTTTTTCTCAGCATATTAAACCCAGTTGAAGCTCAGCTTCAAATGAGTTATACCTTTTCTTGCGCTGTGGGACGGGACACTAAATACATCACTAGTGGTAGTGAAAATTGCAATATTTACAATACTATTGGTACTAAATAAAAATTTTAAAGGGCTTTTTATTGCTGAAGACACATCAGAAAACTCGCATTTTTGTGAAAGTGGGTGAAAAAAAATCATATAAAATACAACTAAATAACTGGCTGTTCTTTTAAATAGTTTTCTGGCCTTGACCATGATTGTGACTGCAAATGCCAGGTAGTCAATTGATTTAAAGCACATGTTTATTTTATTAATATATTCTCTATACAGTGACAGTTCCTCATTAAGTTCTGGTTCAGCA